AATAGAATTGAATTTATTTCTGCCATCTTTTTTTCCTTTCCTGCCTTTTGGAGATGGATTTATTTTTCTTGACTCTTCTTTTTCCCCTTTTTTGTGTTACATGGTTGACCATATAACATGGGGATTAGGGACACTAAGCCCCCACACAGTCAGAAATCCACATGTAACTTTTGATTCCCCCAGAACTTTACTAATAGCCTACTGTTGACTGGAGGCCTTACTGATAACAAAAACAGTTGATTAACATATATTTTGTATATTATATGTATTATATGCTGTATTCTTACTATAAACTAGAGAAAAGAAAAAAAATTATAAGAGAAAATATATTTTCTATTAAGTGGAAATGAATCATCATAAAGGTCTTCATCCTCATCCTCTTCACATTGAAGAGGAGGAGGAAGAAGAGGAGGGATCAGTCTTGCTGTCTCGGATGGCAGAAGTGGAAGAAAATCTGCGTAAATGTAGACCAACACAGTTCAAACCTGTGTTTAAGGATCAGTTGTATTCTACTTTAGTTATTTGAGTGTTTACCTTTTAATTTTTAACATACTTATTTGACTTATAATCATATGCATTAATTCTCAAAGTGGTCCTGGAACACCATTATCAGTATCACCTGGAACATGTTAGAAATGCAAATTCTCAGCCTTTACCCCAGACCTGGATCAAAAATTTGGGAGGTATGGCCCAGCAATCTATTTTTGACAAGCGTTTTGGGTGATTCTGATGCATATTAAAGTTTAAAAACCATAGCTTTAATGTGAATTGTTTTACCTTCTCCCTGAATACTAATTATCTTCTTCTATCTGCATTATTTTTGTTGTCTAATATTTTAGTTTTACCCTGTTTTTAAATTATAACAAATGAGTAATAATTATTGTGGTGGTTTCATAAGCCCACATGTTTAGCAATTTCTTTGTTCATTCTTGCTTTTTAAATCCCACTCCTCTCTTCTTTAGGTTCAGTTTTCTTTTTTTTTTTTGAAGTATCCTTTATTAGTTTTTTTCAGTGAATAACTATTAGGGGTAAACTCTTTATCAGTCTTTGAGAAGTTTTTGCCCTTAATTCGATAGTTTAGCTGAGCACAGAGTTCTAGTTGACAGTTTTGTTCTCTTGGCACTTTGAAAATATTCCATTTTTTGTTTGTCTCTATGGTTACAGTTGAGAAATCATTTGAATTATTCCTTTAAAAGTAATCTGCCTTTTTCCTCTGGTTCTCTGAGGATTTTCTATTTGTCTCCAGTGTTCTGTATTTTTATAATAGTGTGTCTAGACTCAGTTTTAGTTCTTCTGCTCATGAATTGGCTTTTTGATCTGAGGATCGATATATCTCATCAATTTTGGGGATTTTTCATGCATTATCTCTTCAAATATTATTCTTTCTCCATTTCTCACTGTTTTCCCCTTCTTCACTTTTTTATTAGCCATAACCTCCTCTTCCCTCTCCATTGCTTAGTCCCTTCTGCATATACTGGACTCTGGGTATATACCTTGCAATTCATAAATTATTTAGCTGCCACTTATACTGCCTATTGAGTTGTTGTTATTGTTTTTTTTTCCCCTTCATTTTTTTCTATAAGTTCTATTTTGTTCTTGAAACTTACATTGTTTTTTATAATTTTTTAAAACAGAGTCTGGCTCAGTCGCCCAGGCTGGAGTGCAATGACATGATCTCAGCTCACTGCAGCCTCCACCTCCTGGGTTCAAGCAGCTCTCATTCCTCAGCCTCCCAAGTAGCCATAATTACAGGTACATGTCACCACCTGGCTAATTTTTGTATTTTTAATACAGATGAGGTTTCATCATGTTGCCCAGGCTGGTCTTGAACTCCTGGCTTCAAGCAATCCTCCCACCTAGGCCTCCCAAAGTGCTAGGATTACAGATGGGAGCCACCTCGACAGGCCTGTGATGTATGTTCTTCCTTAGTGTTTTGATTCCTTCTTGAATGTGTCTTTACTCATTTTAACTATACATATTTTATATTCTCTTTCAGATTATTATTTTTTAATTTCACATTTGAGGAGTCTGCTTCTGCTGTTTTGCATGCTGATTCTATCCCCTAGTGAAGTTTCTTTGTGTGTTTTATTAACATTTAATTGTGTGCTTATCTTTAGTAGCATTATGTTTTTCTATGAGACTCCCTTGTGACCTTTTCTTGTGGATGTCCATCCACAGAGAAATTTTAGTTTTATATTAACTAGAAGCTCTAGAGAAAACATTGGCCTGCATGTAGGGTTTTCGTTAATTTCTCAAGTGGTAGGTTCCTGGACTATACTCACTGGTAGCATAACTTTGAACCCCAAGCCTATATAAAGCATTTACCCAAGACTTTGAATTTTCAGCTTACTAATTTTCCACTCTTTCATTGAGGATTGACGTTATAGCTCTTAAAGAGTCCCATTTGTTGTGCTGGGAGTCACTTCTAATCCTCTTCCTCACTTAAGTCCTATCCTTCATCTTCTGTCCTGGGTCATAAGAACCAATCCCTAGGATATAAAAAAAATAACCCCAAGTTCATGGCTGGGCATGGTGGCTCACATCTGTAACCGCAGCACTTTGGGAGGTCGAGGTGGGCAGATCACTTGAAGTTAGGAGTTCGAGACCAGCCTGACTAGCATGGCGAAACCCCGCCTCTATTAAAAAATACAAAAATTAGCTTGGGTGTGTTGGTTCATGCCTGTAATCCCAGCTCTCGGGAGGCTGAGGCAGGAGAATCGCTTGAACCCAGGAAGCAGTGGTTGCAGTGAGCCAAGATTGCACCACTGCACTCCAGCCTGGGCAACAGAACGAGGCCCTGTCTCAAAAATAACAATAACAGAAATAGTAATAATAATAACCCTAAGTTTAGTTTGTCTGTCAGGTTACATACTAACTGTTCTGGTTTTCAGTTCTATCTTTGTTTCTGTTATGTAGGGATTTCCCTTTCTTTTTTGTGAGCTCAACTATGAATTTAAAATAATTTTTGTTATCAATATACTTAGCAGTTCTGTTTATTTGTGGCAGGAGAATTATCAGTTACTTTAGATTTTGGTGGTGTTGGTTTTTTCTGGAATGGCAAATATCTTCCTTAGCACTAAGAGAGTTACACAGAGAGGTTCTCTTCTCTTCTGAGACTCTGGTCAGATACAACATAGTCAACAGACCAACCTAAACAGTGGCATTCCGACCACAGGGCTCAGGAAGACAGGAGAACTCTGGTTTCAATGTGAGGACTTTTTTAGTTAGTGATGATAACAAAGGTGGCCCCAGAATTGCCTTGGTGTATTTTTGGCATATACAAATTTTAGGAAGTATGTAATTATATAAGTCAAATTAGATTCATTTGCTGTGAAATAGTGGGAGTGAGCCAATTATTTTACCTTTTTAAAAAATATATATACTAAGATTTTTGTTAGATTAACTTTTAAAACAGTTTTTTGAGAATATTTCATGGATATATCTTTTGTCTCATTTCATTGTAAGTGGGTAGGTTAATGTTACAACGCTCCCTGGGTCTAAAAAGGCTCATAGAATTGTATGCCTGCACGAAATGAGAACTTTTGTTTTTTAACCTCTTTGAATGCAGCCAACAGTTTAAAGTGATTAGTCTTGGAATTTAAGGTTTTGAAACAGGAACATAAGCAAAACTTAAGGAATTCTTCCCAGTAGACTATACATATATATATTTGTTTTTTGTTTTTAATTTTTTTGCCTTTAATAATTCTTTTTAGTCTTCTCAGCTACTGAATTTATGCCTTTAGGGGACTTTTTAGGTTTTTTTTTTAGTTCTTTAGCAACAGACGCTATGTATCCAATAGACTTATCAAACATTCATTGAACATTAAGGAATAGGGGATCCAGAACCTTCTGGCAAGGACAGGTTTATTTGAAGAGACACAAATCAAAAAAGATTTTTTGTCAATAAAAATACATTTGGCCAGGCACAGTGGCTCATACCTGTAATTCTAGCACTTTGGGAGTCCAAAGTGGGTGGATTGCTTAAGTCCAGGAGTTTGAGACCAACCTGGGCAACGTGGCAAACCCCATCTCTATAAAAAAATAGAAAAGTTTTCTGAGCATGGTAGCACATACCTGTAATCCCAGCTACTCAGAAGGCTATGGCGGGTTGCAGTGAGCCAAGATCGTGCCACTGCACTCCAGCAGGGGTTACAAAAAGAGACCCTGTCTCAAAAAACAAACAAGCAAACAAACAAAAACTTCTATTTAGAATAAGATAAGTTGGTTGTGATGAAAATGGGTATTATAAAGCAAGACATTGGACTTTGTATAAAAATTCAACATGATAAGTTTTACCATTTTTAAAATGCCTCAGAAGTCCATAATACATGGTTAAAAGTCTCTGAACACTACACATGTCCAGATTTTGAATCCTTTTAAAAAAATTTTTTTAAAAATTTTTATAGTAGGTATATTTATGTGGTCCATGAGATATTTGATGCAGGCATACAATGCATAATAATCACATCAGAGGCCAGGTGTGGTGGCTCACCTGTAATCCTAGCACCTTGGGAAGCCAAGCTGGGCAGAAGGCCTCAGTTCAGGAGTTCGAGACCAGCCTGGGCAACATGGTGAAACTCCATCTCTCCTAAAATACAAAAGAAATTAGCTGGGTGTGGCAGTGCGCACTTGTAGTCCCAGCTACTTGGGAGGCTGAGGCAGGAGTATTGCTTGAACCCAGGAGGCGGAGGTTGCAGTGACCTGAAATGGCATCACTGCACTCCAGGCTGGGCAACAGAGACTCCATCTCTATAAAAAAAATAAAAATAAGGCCAGCATGGTGGCTCACGCCTGTAATTCCAGCACTTTTGAGAGGCTGAGTTGGAGAGATCACAAGGTCAGGAGCGCAAGACCAGCCTTGCCAGCATAGTGAAACCCCGTCTCTACCAAAAATACAAAAAGTTAGCCGGGTGTGGTGGCAGGCGCCTGTAATCCTAGCTACTCGGGAGGTTGAGGCAGGAGAATCACTTGAACCTGGGAGGCAGAGGTTGCAATGAGTGGAGATTGTGCCACTGCACTCCAGCCTGGGCGACAGTGCGAGCTCATCTCAAAAAAAATAAAAATAAAAAATAATCATATCACGGTAAATGGGTATCTATCACCTCAAGCATTTATCGCTGCTTTATGCTAAATACATTCCAATTATACTATTTTAGTTATTTCTAAATGTACAACAAATTGTTACTGACTGTAGTCACCCTGTTGTGGTATCAAATACTAGATCTTATTCTGACTATATCTTTGTACCCATTACATCTCCACTGCCGTTCCCAGCCTCTGGTAACTGTCCTCTCCACTGTCTTCATGAGTTCAATTGTTTTAATTTTTCACTTCCACAAATGAATGAGAACATGCAAAGTTTGTCTTTCTGTACCTGGCTTATTTCACTTAACATAATGTCCTTCAGTTCTATCCGTGTTATTGCAAATGACAGGCTCTCATTTTAGTTTATGGCTGAATAGTACTCCATTGTGTATATGAATCACTGTTTGGTTTTTTTTCCTTTGTCCCTCCCCGCCCCGCCCCCGCCTGCCACTGAGACAGAGTCTCTGTTGCCAAGGCTGGAGGTCAGTGGTATGATTTCAGCTCACTGCAACTTCCGCCTCCTGGGTTCATGCAATTCTTCTGCCTCAGCCTCCCGAGTAGCTGGGTTTACAGGTGCCTGCCACCACACCTGGCAAATTTTTGTATTTTTAGTAGAGACGGGTTTTGCCATGTAGGCCATGTTGGTCTTGAACTCCAGACCTCAAATGATCCTCCCTCCTCAGACTCCCAAAGTGCTGGGATTACAGGCGTGAGCCACTGCCCACACCTGGCCAGAACCACATTTTGTTTATCTATTTATTTGTTGATAGACCTTCATATTGCTTCCAAATCTTGGGTATTATTTATAGTGCTGCAATAAACATGGGAGTTCAGGTATCTCTTCAACCTAATGATTTCATTTCCTTTGCATAAATATCCAGTAAGTGGGACTGTGGAATCATATGGTAATTCTGTCTTTCGTTTTTTTAGGAACCTCCATACTGTTCTCCATAGTGATGATTTTGAGTCCTGACTGATGATATTTAGCAAATTATTTAGACACTGAGTTTTTGTTTCCTCATCTTTAAAGTGGAATTTTAAAAAATCTATACTATTACTCAGTATGGAGTCAGAAAAGCTCAGAGGCGATTTAGTCCAGCTTTCTTTGTCATGTTCCATTCTTTAACATAAGTTCTTAAGTTCTCTATTCTTTAATAGCACTAAAGAACTAAATTTGTTAAGAAAATGTAGGTTTCTGTTATTCCAATTTAAACATTCTTTGAGGTTGACGGCTGTGCATAGAAGACACTAATATCAATTGAATACTTCATGATAGCCATAATCAATTTAATTATTTTATCTAACCCTGTTTTGAAGGACAAGTATCAGAGAGATTAAGCAGCCTACCCAAGATTACCTAGGTAAATGGTAGAGATAAAATTAGATCTCAGAACCACTGTGACATGCGGCTACCATAGTGGCCCCCTGGCTTTTTTTTTTTTTTTTTTTTTTGAGACGGAGTCTCACTGGTTTTTTTAGGCTGGAGTACAGTGGTGTGATCTCCGCTCACTGTAACATCGCTTCCCAGGTTCAAGCGATTCTCATGCCTCAGCCAACTGAATAGCTGGGATTACAGGCGTGTGCTACCACACCTGGCTAATTTCTGTATTTTTAGTAGAGACGAGGTTTTTGCCACGATGGCCAGGCTGGTTCTGAACTCCTGGCTTCAAGTGATCCGCCCTCCTCAGCCTCCCAAAGTGCTGGGATTATGGATGTGACCTTTTTTTTAACCATTAAAAAACTAGTATTAATATAAAAGCATTTTAACTGTTACTTACACGTCCTGGTTTGGAACCATAAGTTATTTCTATATATTTTATAACTCTTCAGTGAGATATGTGTACATAAAGTACAGTTATATATTAGGATTTTGTTCAATAAAAATTTGAGTACATATATGCTTGATACTGTTCTAGATACGTGTACAAGGATGAAGAAACAAAATTTAAAAATAATAAAATGGCAAGTAGTAGTAGGTATTACAGTGAAAATGAACAATGTGAGAGTAATGGAGGGGCCTTTAAGCTGGGACCTGATGAGAAGGGAGCAAGATATGCAAAAAATGGAGGTGCAGGCATTCTGGGTAGAGAGAGTAGTTAATGCATCAGCCAAGACCAGTACAAACAGAAAGTGTCCAAGGATCAGGAAGAAGGCAAGCATGGCTGGAATATAGTCAGAGATAGACAAATCCCAGAGTATGTCATGCCTTGCAACTGTGTTAAAGTTTTATTTCATTCTGACTGCATTGGGAAGTCACTGCTGGGTTTGAAGCAGGGAAGTAATATAATCTGATTTCTAGTTGGAAGAAATTGCACTGGCTGCTGTGTGTGGAGAATGGATTGTAAAAGGCAAGAATAAAAGCAAAGAGACCAGTGAGGATACTTGTAACCAGGAGATAATGGTGGGCTGGATCAGATGGTAGCAGTGAAAATAGAGGGAAGTGATAGACTTGAGATTTGTTCTGGAGAGAGAGTTGACAGGCCTTACTTCTGAATTGAGTGTAAGGGAAGAAAAGAAAAGAACAAAAGTTACTCCTAATATTTTTACTTGAACAACAGGATATTGGGGGAACAAGTTGCCATTCCTTGAAATGGGTATGACTGGGGAGAGAAAATCTGTAGTTCTGTTTTGTACACTTTAAGCTTGAAGTGCCTGTAGACATCTAAGTAGAGATGTCTATCAGGCAGTTGGGTATATACTCTCAAGTCTGGTTCAAGGGAAAGGTGTACATTGGGGAGTCGTCAGCATATCCTTGGCATTTAACCTGTGGGATGAGGTCATATGTGGAATGAGCATAGAGAAAAAAGGGAACGGTCCCAGCACTCCTTATGTTTCCAAATTCAGTAAATAAGCAGCTGACGAGGTGGGAAGAAATTTTAAAAGATGTGGCATCTTGAAAACAGAGTGAAGAAAATATATCAAGAATCTAATGCTATTTGGGGTCAAATAAGGACTAAGAAGTGGCCCTTGAATTTGACAAAATGGAAGTTGTTAATGACTGAGGAGCAGTCAGAGGCACAGTCGGAAATGAAGCCTGGTGGAGTTGGGTGGGGAGAGAAGGGGAGGTAAGAAATGGAGATAGCGAATGTAGATAATTTTTATAACAACCTCTCCTGTGATGAGGAGCAAGAAAAATGGGGCAATAGTTAGAGTGGACTGAGGGACCAAGTTAGATAAGCAGGTTGGTTTTGTTTTAAATTTTACTTGTAAGTAATCTGCTGCAAGGTGCGCTCTTCTCTTACTTACAAGCCCATTGACCTGCAGACCTGGGCTTTCACATTAACTGAATGGAAAATCATACATAGGAGCTCTCCTGCATACCCTGAGAACCAGTGACAGGAATAAGAATTCCCTTCACTTCCAAGATTAAGCTAAAGGAGAAAAAATAAAGAAGAATTCAACAATCCCCGCTCTGCCCCTTTCTTGTCCGGCTCTGGGAAAACAGGAGTATCATACCCTGTCCCTCCTGCAAACTGCTGACAGTCCAGTGGGGGAGACCTTGGTAGGTGCTCAATAGTCTGTTTTTGATGTGGGCCTTGGATAAGAATAAGGGCTTTTTGGCAGAGAAAGGGCCCCCAATCACAGAGGCATCATGCTGAGCAGAGTGAGGACCTGTGAGGGAGCTTGGTGGAGCCAGGCAGGGCTGGAGATGTACAGGAGTGCTTTCTAGCAATTTAGGCTTGCTTAAGAAACAAAGCCAGGCTGTTTACTGAGTTTTGTTACCTGGTAATCAGATGGCTTCTTCTATTTAAATAAAAAGAAAAGAAGTGATACAGATTTCCCCAAAATTGAGTCTTTGTGCACTTATACTTGCAAACAGTGGCCTTCTCAAGGTTTATACTGTGAGCTTAAATTTGCCTTCTCACCCAGAAGAAAGTAAGGTCCAAAATTTCCCTCATTGTTTCACCTCTTAGAATAAAGCGTGCAGTCAGTGTAATCGTTGCGTTCAGCTGTCTATTTAAGGTAACACAGGAAATTAGCAGTGCATTTTCAAGAAAAGCTGATTACCATCATCTGTTATTAGTAATCATCTAAAAACATCACTAAGTATAGACATTGGCAATGGTCAGAGACACATAGATGAAAAGGGGGAAATTATCCATCATTTGAAATGTATTACTCCACACTATTAGAATATACCAATTTAAATTAAATGATTTTAGAATATATCACTCAAGTTACGGTGTTCTACCCTATGCCCAAAATGTTCTACTCTCATCTTTCCCCAGATGGGGAAGGTTGCTTATTAGGTTATACTTCCTTTGAGAATGATTGTAAACACACAATCTTTACAGTTTTGCATCCAAGGCAGCCAGCTTTCTGTGAGGCTGTTCAGAGCCTGGGTCCCTGCATTCAAGGGGAACTTCAGATGAGGGCTTTATTCAGGTCTCACCTTATAGTCACCATCTCCATCATGACCATGGATGCAGTAAGGTTTCACAGTAGCTCCTGCAGCATCAAGAGGGTAGATTACAAAACCCAAAGATAGCCAGTGGTGCTTCACACCTAAACAGATGTCTGTCTTGCCATAGTGGTTGAACCATAGGCTGAATTGTAAAAGCTATGTTTGGGAGTCTAACTAAAGAAAATTAATAGGCTTAAGGATTTTAGGAAATTTAATAGTTTAAAGGGTCTTATCTAGAAAAAAAGGTCACTTTTAAAGTAACTTAAGTTTGGCAAATTAGGGATTTTGAGTTTTGCTACATAATAAAAGTCACTGTTGGTTTGGAACATGATACTCAGTGGAACATACCATTTCTTATGCAAGAGGAGATCCACTCACCCAAATGTAGGAAGACAAGAAGTTCCTATGGTAGTTAAGTACCTAGGTTGGGAAGAGTATCCAATGCAATAAAAGATAACAATGGTCATGGCAAAATTTTCAGCAACCAATATATGTCTCAAAGTTTGGTACAATTTTAAATACAAGGATGAGGATAATACATGGTTGAAAAATGTCTTTGTAAGTATTATATAATCTTCACTGCTTTTTTCCAACTTGTTTAAGACTTTTTATCATGCGTCTGAACTAATATTTTTAATTAGGAAAAAAGCACATGTGTATTTGGCCCTTCCAATTAATATTTTATTCAATGATAGCTTGAGACTATAGGGAAATCCAGTTCAAGTTCACCTTTTTATATACACTTCTGATTTTGAGCATCAGTTCAGATTTTCCACAGTGATAGCTAAGCTTCCTCAGTGGCTTGGGTCTTAGACATGGTTTAAATAGGGAAAGAAGCAAGAGCTAGACGGGTCCTCTCCCAGAAAGTGAGCTGTTGGCCTATGGGGTGACCAAGGGAAGGAATCCAGTCATGGGTTCTTAGCTTCTGTTTCTGGTTGGGCCAGTAAAGCCTCTTCCTCATCCCTGTTTTCTCCTTATCACTAGAGACAGAAACTAAAAACCATGGCTTCAGTCTGCTAAAAGCCTAAAACAAAACAGGACAACAATAAGGCAGGCTGGACAAGGTTGTTAAGACTTCCATGGATTACCAGAAATATAAATGCCACTAAAGCCATCATTTGTCCTCATAAGATGTCATCGATTGTTACCGAAATTTTTAATGAAATCTTTCAGACTCTTAATGAGTATTTAACTATCAGACTAAAGTAATTTATACATCATTATTTTCTTAGATCTTAGAGCTTCTTACTTTCTTTCTCTTTTTGAGACAGAGTCTTGCTCTGTTACCCAGGCTGGAGTGCAGTGGTGCAATCTCGGCTCCACCTCCTGCTTCAAGTGATCCTCCTGCCTCAGCCTCCCAACTCCCAATTACAGGTGCCCACCACCACACCGGCTAATGTTTGTATTTTTAGTAGAGCTGGAGTTTTTACTGTATTGGCCAGGGTGGTCTCAAACTCCTGACCTCAAGTGATTTACCTACCTCGGCCTCCCAAAGTGCTGGGATTATAGGCGTGAGCCACCTCATCCAGACTCTCACTTTCTTTTGAGAACCAGTTTTCACAAAGAAATCATACTACTTCACATAAATTAGTATATGCATTTAACTGAGAGATGTGCATATTCCAGGTAGATAGTGGAGCTGATACGCTAGCCAGATGACTACTTAACCATAACAGTTTGCAGCCCATGAAATTCAAATCTTTGCCTCAGCAGACAGTCATGGACTTTCAAGATCATTCTTTAGTTTATTTGATGTTAAATGCCTGTAAAGTCCAAGTGATAAAAGTGTGTTAATCGGGCCACTATATGTCACTCAGTAGCTCCTATAGGATTCTTTTACAGGATCTCACTTTGTCACACAGGCTGGAGTGCAGTGCTATGACCACAGCTCACTGCAGCCTCGACTTCCTGGGCTCAAGCGATCCTCCTGCCTTAGCCACCGTGCCCATCCCAGAACTGCTTGCTTTCCATGGCTTCACCCTAAGTAACTCTCACATATTACCATGGTAGCTTTCCACCTCTTCCCTCTTACCTTCCTTCCCACCCCCACCTCCACCTCCACCCATTATACTTCCAGCTTAATTTTCCTAAAGCTGGTGGTCCCTATTCCCCTCTAATTTTAGGAAAGACTTCCATACCTGGGCTTTCCCATTTCAATTCTTGATACCAATTGTGTTCTAACCAAACAATTTTGTTCCCTAAAGATGTCCCATATTTTCCTGTGCTATTTCTCCTCCTTGGAATGTTACCTTGATGAAGCCCTTCCCAAACATATGTGACTTTTTCCCCCACCTTTGTATTCCGTAATATTTTGTACCACTTATACAACTAAAGCCATTGAGCATTGTATTACAGATATTTGGGCTTTCCCCATACTCCATAACTCAAATCACAGAACACACTTCAAGGTAGACTTAGGTTCATTTCCATGACAATGTCTAAGTTTCATTCAGCCCTTAAGAATTATTACATTTGTGATGTATTTTCATTTCTCTCACAATGGCTCTGCACGTAGTACACCCAAATACATCTTTTTTGTTTCTATGCAAGCATTTTCACAAAGTAGGTATTTTTCTGAGGTTTTTTTTTTTTTCCATTTAACATGTGATAATCTTTCATGTTCATATATTCAAGTACCTTTTATTTTTAATGGCTGCATATTCTGTAAAATGCATGATACCTACTTTAGCCACTATTGAACATAGTAGAAAGCTTTTAAAATGTGCTACTACAGATAATGCTGCAGGGTGTGTCTTTGCACACTAGAGCAGATATATCAAAAAGATAGCTTCCTAGAAATGGAGTTACTGGCTCAGAGGTTATGTATACTTTTTACTTAGTACCAAATTACCTTCTAAAAAACACTTAAGAAATTTCCACCAGTAGTATATCAAAATGCCCATTTCCATGTCTGGATTTTGTTACTGACCATTTTATGGGTTGCACAAAAAAGCGCTTGCACTTTAATTTACATTTCCCTGTCTGCTAGTGAAGTTAAATGTCTATTCATATATTGGCTACTTGTATTTCTTTAAAAATTACCTATTCGTATCTCTTTGCCCGTTTTTCTCCTAGGTTGTCTTTTTCTTGATTTGTCACATTTTAATAGATTCTGGATGTTAATTCTTTTCATATACATTTCAAGTACCTATTTCCAGTTGTTTGTTGTTGTTGTTGTTGTTGTTTTGACACAGAGTCTAGCTCTGTCGTCCAGGTTGGAGTGCAGTGGCATAATCCCTGTCTCCTGGGTTCAAGCGATTCTTCTGCCTCAGCCTACTCAGGCATGCATCACCACACCTGGCTAATTTTGTATTTTTAGTAGAGACAGCATTTCACCATGTTGGTCAGGTTGGTCTCAAACTCCTGAGCTCAAGTGACCTGCCTACCTCGGCCTCCCAAAGTGTTGGGATCATAGGCGTGAGGCACTGTGGCCAGCCGCATCAACGTTCTTTGTGGTATCTTTTGTAACTTTTAATTTTTACATAGTCAGATCTTTAGTCTTTTGATTTATGGCTTCTTAATTTTGTTCCTTATTTAGAAAGGGCTTTCCAGTCCTAAAAATTATCAAAATGTTTTCTTTTGATAGTTTTATTTTGCCTTAGCTTTTTTTTTTTTTTTTTTTTTTTTTAAGACAGGGTCTCACTCTGTCACCGAGGCTGGAGTGCAGGGGCTTGATCACAGCTTACTGTAGCTTCAGCTTCCTGGGCTCAGGTGATCCCCTCACCTCAGCCTCACAAGTAGCTGAAACTACAGGTACTTGCCACCATACCCGACAATTTAATTTTTTTGTAGAGATGGGGTCTCACTATGTTTCCCAGGCTGGTCTCAAACTCCATGTTCAAGCAATCCTTCCACCTCAGCTGCCCAAATACTTTAGGTTTAAATCCTTTCATTCATTTGTATTTTATTTTGAGGTTGGACAAAGGGTAGTAATATATATTTTTTAATTCTTTGCAATACTATTGAAACCTTTCCAGTTGATTTGAACTGTTGTAGTTATAAACTAATGTTGTATATGCCTTTGGGTTTATTCTGGATTTTCCTTTGTCCACCAACTTTTAAAATTTATTCCTGTTTCACTGAGATTCTTCTTTTTCATTATCTCTTCTATATGAACTTTAGAGTCAGTTTGTGGATTCTATTAAGCATTTTTTAAATCTTACTGGGATTTTTGTTTGGATTGCATTTATGGATTCTTTGGGGAGATTGAACGCCTTTATAATATAGAATCTACCATTGTGGACTCCTGCTTGTGCATCTTCTACTCAATCATTTCCATTTCTCCTACTGTAAAGTTTTACAGCTTTTTCTTCTAGCTCCTATACCTTGTTAGACTTATACCTTGGCATTTTATGGTTTTTATTGATGATTAGGATCCTTTTTTTCTATTGTCTTTCCTATTGGCATTTGCCTCTAGATAATAAAACTTCATTTTTATATATTTATTTCTGGCCACCTCATTAGTCTTAATAATTTTTCAGTTGATTTTCTTGGATTTTCAAAGTGTACAATTCTGTCACCTGCAAAAACAATGACAGGCTTTTCTCTCTTTTTTCATTTCTTTTTAGTTAAGAGATTTGAATTGTGAAATCCCTGAATCATTAGGGGTTTCCAGGACATGATTTGAGAGCAGCCATAATAGGAGGCATTTTTATCTTCTTCTTAGTTTTAAGAGGAACATTTCTATATATTTTCAATTAAATTTGATGCTTGCTATGGATATCTGAGGGAGTCATTTTATCCAGTTAAGAAAACGTTCTTCTATTTTTCACTTAGGATATTTAATCAAAATTCAGTGTTCTAGTACATGAAATGTGTTTTTGACATCTATTGAAATTATTTTTTCTTTTTAATCTGTTACTACAATTATCTTGATTTTTTTTTTTTCCCAATTTTCCTGTTTCTTTCTTTGTATAAACACTACCTGGTCATGATATATTCTTTTTACCACCCTTACTACTAAATTTGGTTTTATTTAGAATGTTTATATTCATAAGCAAAATAGACATGTGCTTTTTTCCCCCTCCTTTTACTATGTTTCTCCTTGCTGTGCCATATGTTATATACTTGGGAGCTAGGTGTACCTTGAAGATTTGGTAACATTCTCTCATAAAACTGAGTCTGGTGGCTTTAAAAGATGGAATTTTGACTGCCTTTTCAATTTTAATTATTATATTCAAGGACTATGAATATCCTAGCCACTTTTCTCTGATCTCGAACAAGTTACTGATTTCATTGAACCTCAGTTTTGTTCATGGTAAATGGAGATAACAGTATCTAACTCCCAATATTGTCATAAGGATTAAATGAAATTGATTATTTAGCATAGTTTTGTCTCACATATGGTAAATGGTCATCATTAATAACGATTATCATCGTTATTCCCTTCTGTAGATTACTGTAGTGACCTTAGTCATCCCCATCTCTTACGCAGTACAGCTGTAAATTCCACAGTAGACAGATAGGACACAAAGATGTGCTAATGGTCCAGCCCACAGTGGTAGTCATCCACTCTATGGGACATACCCTTTGGTGGGTCTAGACCTCTCCCTCAACTAGAGCTTTTTCCCACAACTTTATCTCAGCAGACCTGGCCATGGGCCAGGATACACCACCTGTATTGTATAAGGGAGCCAAGGCAGAGACTGCATGTATGCACCTTGGCTGCCCCTGCCCTGTCTGGAGCTCATTCTTCACATTAGAATGCTTATGTTAGTTTTTGAAGATTTTTAACTTGAATGGAAAGGTAACTTTTTTTTAATGTCATTTGAAAAATCAGGATCTTAATATATAAGCGATGGGAAGGCAGTCTATGTGATTGGTCAAACATTCCATGAGTTTTGTTTTGAGGAAATAATCAGATGTTCTGTCTCCTTTTGAAAGGAGGATAAAATGTTAGGCCGAGTTAAATGTATAAGGTAGAAAATGGAGACTTGTTGCATTCTCATCAACAAGCAGAATATGGTTTTTTCCAGTCTTCTACTACTTCACAGTCCTTCATCTGATATTTAAAATGTATTTATGTTGAGTCATTTCTTTCTCTCTTGCTGGTGAACCAGAAGATCATGAAATGATTCTACAGAGGCAGTAGCATTATGTTCAGTTTCTTTTTTTGTATGCATCAGATAAGAGGCTTGCAAATGGAAGTAAGTTGCCTCACATCCTTTGTAGGGTGATCGCAGTAATGTTTGCCTTTTTACCACTAGTGCAACATTTTTATTAGTTCATAAACCCCCTTCCAAAGAACCTAAGGGCTTTTTGGTGAAAGGTGACTGTGGTGGGAACAGTGTTAGGTTTTGACAGGCTACTTTTGTTTTTACAAACATTTCTTCTCTTTAGTAGTTTAGAAACTATTACCTTAAAAGAGAATTGAGGACAGGGACACGACTGGACTAATTAGGAAGTTAGTGCTTAGAGTTAGGATTTAGAATGTAAATATGGAAGTTAATATTTAGAATTAGGATTTCTGAATCTGTGAATAGAAAGGTAAAATAAAATTTTGAGGTCAGTCCAGCTTAAGCCTCTAAGTCGTACTCACTGAACCAAAGCTTCCAGTTGGTAAAAATCTAAGATCTGAGGAATCAAAATAAGAAGCTGGCTTTTGGTAAACCTTAATAGTGATAGAAGAGGGACAAGGTGGCAATTCCAGAGATTCTCCCCTCCCCTTTAACTCCCTCTCGTCCACTCAACAGGCCTTCCTGTGACCTGTGGGTATCAGTCGAAGCAGTCCCTCTAAGTTACCACAGCCTAAGAAAAGAGTCTACTAAAAAATTATGTTCCCATGGCCGGGCGCAGTGGCTCATGCCTGTAATCCCAGCACTTTGGGAGGCCGAGGCGGGCAGATCACGAGGTCAAGACATGGAGACCATCCTGGCCAGCATGGTGAAACCCCATCTCTACTAAAAAAAATACAAAAATTAGCTGGGCATGGCTGTGCGCACCTGTAGTCCTAGCTACTCGGGAGGCTGAGGCAGGAGAATTGCTTGGACCCAGGAGGCAGAGGTTGCAGTGAGCCAAGATCGCACCACTGCACTCCAGCATAGCGACAGAGGAAGACTGTGTCTCAAAAAAAAAAAAAAAAAAGTACATTTCCTGAATTTTTCACAGTATTCAAGTATTTACTTAAAGGAGTATGTGTTGTATCCTAGATAGTGAATATGGAGAAGGGTAACCCTGGATCACTAGAAATAAGCCTGCTAATTTTCAGTACCAGCCAAGCAGCAAAGTCTTGGTGATACTTATTTTTTTCTAGCTCTTACTATATATTCTTTTACCATTGAAAATATTGAGGACGTTATTTATATTTTTGTTATATACATTATAAATTTTATGTATTTTAATATTACTATTACACATAATTATATATCTTTTATATAAAGTACAAATGTCTGCTTCTTCCCAGAGCAATAATGAAGTTTCACAGTATGAAAATGGAAGAAATCAATAAAATTATTCGTGATCTGTGGCGAAGTACCTATCGTGGACAAGGTGAGTACTGTGGTGTATCACAAATGCTCTTTCCAAAGACCTCTCTGCAGCTCTTCCCCTTGTAACCTCTCATCATGCCAGCATTACCTCCCTGGACCCCTTTCTAAGCATGTCTTTGAGATTTTCTAAGAACTCTTATCTTAGCAACATCTTGTCGCAAGAAAATGTAGTTTTCTGTTCCAGAGCGTAACAGGATTTACATATTTGGCTGCAGTAGGTATTAATTTAGCTGATGACATAATAGGTTCTTTCATAGTGTAGACAGGATAAGCCAAAATGTGATAAGAAACCATCCTTAGGAAACTTTTTTTTTTTTTTTTTTTTTTTGAGATAGAGTCTCGCTCTGTTCTGTCACCCAGGCTGGAGTGCAATGGTGCGATGTTGGCTCACTGCAACCTCCGCCTCCTGGGTTCAGGCAATTCTCCCACTTCAGCCTCCTGAATAGTAGCTGGGATTACAGGCATGCATTGCCACGCCTGGCTAACTTTTATATTTTTAGTGGAGATGGGGTTTCACCATGTTGGCCAGGCTGGTCTCAAACTCCTG